AAAAAACTGTCAAAATTGTACCAATTGTGGTAGCGTGACGTTAGCGCGTGAGTCACTAGTTCAGGAGCATACGTCATAGACTTTTTCCCCTACCGAATTTGGTTTGCAAAAAACTCTATTCGGATGACGGAGTGTAACTTTGTCCTTTGTTATGTGTATGCGCTTTGCACAGGGCAAATCTTATAAGCTGACACCTATGATAACAACACTTCATTCTACAGAAATTATGAAGCATGATTTCTCAATACTGATCACTTTTATTGGCCTGGATAGAAGCGGGAAGGGGCTCTGTATATTGAATGAAACCACAGTAACTTCAGAAAACGAAGATGGTCTGGCAGGCGACCCCTTACCTTTGGAGAATCGAACCTCGACCGTTATGCAAATACGATATCCGCGGCGCCTCTTTACCTCCCATTAAGTAACTAAGAAGTCTTGGTCACAAATTCCAGCGAATATATAGGTTACATATTCCAGAGAATTACTAGGTCACTCATTTCAGATGTAATCTTGGTCCCATATTCTAGATAATGTTAGGTGATATCTTTCAGATGATATTTATGTAACATCTTTCAGAGGATATCTAAGTCACAAATTGCAGAGAATATCTTAGTTACATATTCCAAATGATGTCTGGTCACATATTTCAGATGTTGTTTAGGTCACATTTTTCAAAGAATATCTAGATCAGGCACTCCAAATGATATCTAGGTCAGATAGCCCTTTTCATATTAAATTATAGTTACCTAGAAGACTTTTAGTTCTGGTAATGTCAGTATATCAAGGTAAGGGATTCCCTTGTTATCTAACATACTCGCTCTAGTCTGTCCCATATTGACATATTTTCTTACCTGGTCAGAGAATTATAGACTACAATATTGGTACTATCCTGATCCCCGACGAGGTAGATTTTGTTTTACCAGTTGAAATTAAATCACTGTTGTATTTAAACTAAAGGTGACGATTGTTCAACAGACAAGAATGAGTGTTTGAGTAATCCATGTCATCTCGCCGGCACACGTGTGTGTAACAATACCTATGGAGGTTTCATCTGTGAGTGCATGGACGGTTATTCTGGCTTCAACTGCTCCGTAAGTATATTAACTTTTACATAGCAGTTAATTCAGCCAATCCAAAACAGTGAATGTTTTAACAAGACTATTATAAATTTAGTCCTCCATCACTTTATCCCACTAAAACTTTCCATTTAAGGTACACGAAGACATGGACCCATGTTTCAGCAGTCCGTGTCTTCATGGCGGTATCTGCAGGGGGCGGAACACAAGTTTCGAATGTGAGTGCAGGAATGGTTGGATGGGTCCTTGTTGTGAAATGCTGGTCGACTATTGTGCAGACGTTGCTAACCCTTGCCTCCACAATGCATCTTGCATCAGTCTTCAAAATGACTTCTTCTGCAGGTAACCACGTTATAATGACCACACTGCGCGCTAGTATAGCAGGCTGACTAATTCGTATTTCAGTTAAGCGGTTGCATGTCGGCTCGTCCACGTACTGTACCAATTATATACGGTTAATTGTAGTTGCCCAACTGGTACCTATGGTCGATACTGTGATAGTCTCCCTGGCCTGTGTACTCGCCTGAACCCTTGTCTGAACCTTGGAAACTGTACCGCTGACGGGGAAATCTTTACTGGATGCAGTTGTTCTGATGGTAAGACAACCAATGATAACGTAACGATAACGTATACATGAATAAAAGTCATGAAGTCTGCTAAATCTTACTAAACGAAGATATTTATACATAGTTATATTCAGTACTATTCATTTATTGTATAATTCGTTGTTTTCTTTGTTATTTGAAATTAAAATATCTTGATACCTGTAGTTATTAATTAGACCTACATTTTCAGAATTCTATGGTGACGGTTGTCAAGTAGTGAAAGACCACGACTGTGCCAGTAGTCCTTGTCTGCATGGAGGCACATGCTCACAGGATTCCAGCGGCCATATATTCTGTTCTTGTTTACCAGGTACTGAAGTGTTACAGCTTAATCGTATAATTGGTAAACTCGGAGGAAAACATTATTTTAAAGTAGCAATGTGATACAGAATTATTGAATTCAAAGCAAATAATATTTGTATTTGACAGTTGATCCTGCATGTAAGTGATTATATTTACTATCAATATACCGATATGATACTATTGTAAACATAATTTTAAATATTAGAGTTTAAATCATTTCAGCATAGAAGAATTATTATCACAAGTACCATTCCTTCATGTAGATATGTGGATAACAGGGCAGTGCTGATCCTTTTCAGGTTACCATGGTGACCAGTGTCAGTATGATGTAGATGAGTGTGAGGAGGTTATTTGTCCAGGTCTGGGGACATGTATTGATGGGGTCAACAAGTACTATTGTCGCTGTCCTCTTGGTAAACTTCCACCTAACTGTACAGAGGGTAGGTATACAACAAACAGACATTACTGTCGCTGTCCTCTGAGGATAGGCATGCTACCAACAGAAAGGGAAAACTAGCACAACTGCCGCTAACCTCTAGACAACCCCCTTCACTACAAAGATAGTGCGTACATTCTTTCTAGACCACATTCAATAGTGACATACTCTGGGAAAAGGTATATGAACAGTATACTTCCTGGTGCGAGGAGGAACGATTACAATGTTAAAGATCTCGCTAGTATTTCTCCATAAACAACTAGACACTGAACTAAATATTGCTGTCTGTAGATATTAGAATGCTGTTATTTGTTGAAGTCACAATACTGTCATTTGTAGATATGGAAATACTGTTGTCGGGAGAAATCAAATTAGGAGTCAAAATACTGCTGTCTGATATAGAAATTCCGCTGCTTGTAGAAGTCCATTTATATGAAAATCCAGTGTTCTGTTATAAGAATAGATGTCTGCCATACCCTCAGCCTTGAAGTCATTTTTCGGTATTTTCAGATGTCACGGTTACCCATGATGTGTGTTTTGAGTCTCCCCTGCGAACAGCGAGCGCCTCTTTACCTTTTGGTATACCAATGAATCACCAATACATGTCAGTCAGTTTCTGGGTGAAATTCTCAACAAAAAATGGAACTGGAACCTTCTTCTCCATGTTTGAACAGACGTGCGTATTTTTGTTATTGTATGTGAGAATACTTTATATCAAGGTTATTAGGTAATGAGTTACACGTCTGATCGGTATCGCATACTCTTTTCTGATTTGTAGATAATTTAACAAGTGGCTTACAGCTTATTAATGTTTCCATTGAGTTACCTTATATTGGAATCTACTTAAAGTACTCCGTATGAAACCTTATATTTCCACGTATCATTACAACAACGCTAGAAAGGAATTATGAAGGATCTGCTACCAATGATAAAGTGTCAAGGATATTCCTACTGTATAAAATCCTTCTTCGTCTAACCAAATTTTGTAGGATTCCACTCCACGCTTTCGTAAGTGGCGACTATTGTCAAAACCGAGCAAACCGGAGTTTCTCTGTGACTTCTGTTTAGGGGATATTGAATAAACCAAATTTGATATGATGTTTCCATTGTAATTGTTCGGGTCCATGGTTGTCCTGTCTAATCCACTAACTTCATCCTTTCAGCAGTCTCTAACAGCATCCACCTTCATATCCTAGGTGTTAGGTTAAACCCCAATGTTAGGTTAAACCCCAAACAACCTTTTGTCTGACCAATGATTATGTACCATATATAAGATCTGACGAAATATATTATATTCAAAGATAATGATATATCGGATTAGTTCATTAATAGTTCCTACAAAGTTCAATGTATCAGAAATACGTAAACGTGTTTGAGGTTGTTCGTCATCCATCTTAAATAAAACAAACACAGTGAGCATTGTCATGCTAATGATATGATCTGTTGCCAAGCGATCCTGGTTCCCACACAGATCAAGTGTTCCTTGATTCACCTTAATAAGTAAATAGTGATGTATTTCACATGTTGTTTTACCAAGCGACCCTGGTTCCTCTACTGGACTGATGTTACTGTTCAGTCTGGCCCATGACGGCCTTCGCCTCTCTGTTAATACCACAGAGGACACAACAAGCTTTGGCTCTTACAGTATAAACAGTGGAGTGTGGCACCTGCTCGTTATCACATGGGACGCTACCATAGGAAAGGTGGAGGTCAGAGCCAATAGTATACGTCTGATACAGCTGACAGACTATCAGCAGGGGAAACTTCTCAATAAATCGTAAGTTGTATTTTTTCGTATTTTAATCTAAAGAATAAGTTAAAAAGAGGTTTTTCTATGGATTTTTTTTTCTTTCAAATTCATACTCATGTTCCGATTTCTTTTCAAGATTTTCATAAATGTTCCATATTCATGTTGTGGTCCAAACGGTATACTTATTTCAAATCAAATTAAATCTATGTTGATTTGAAGAATTTTGTTCTCTTTAAATTTGGCTCAATGTTTTACAGTTCCAATGAGTCATCTTTAAAATAAAAAGGAATACAGATTTAAATATGAAAACCTACTATGCGTATCTATGTGTTTGCAGTTACTGGATTACACTAGGACATGAGTTTTCCACTGCCAGTATGACGTCTGTGATAGGAGGGGGATTCCAGGGCTGCCTATCTCAAGTGAATGTGTTTAGTTATATACTGGACACTAACACACAAGTAACAAATATGATGTTGGACCCCTTCACTGAGAGGGATCGTGGAGATATCCTTCAATGGGACGAGTTTGAACTTTGGGGTCTTGTCAGGAGAGTACGACCTAGTACTATACAGGACCCTGTCTGTGCTAGCTGTTTGTCTCCAGGTAAAGCAGTCTTCCCAGTTGTATAAAAAAATATATTTTTATTTTGTAATTAACTATCCGTTTAGTCTAACACGATTAGGTTTCAAAAGTTGCATTTAATGCTGATCTTGTGACTGCTATCTGTATCAGAACTGGTATAAACATACGGGATCAGTCTTACCTTTATCTGCCATGTTTGGTAGACAACGATATCTGACACTTAACTGTAATATTTGTTGTTACATAGAGCAGGCTGACCCTTTCCTGCCAATATGCATATTACATACAATATCTGTATAATTATCACTAATACATATACGTATGTTTCATACAAGAGCAGTTCGATTCACACAGTTACATACATGTACAGAAACACTCGGATTCTAACATATTAAGTGTATTACCTACAGCATTGTTACTTGCCCGGCTATGTTTATGTATTAAAGCTAAGAAGAGTCTTAGCCTCACCTGCCCTAAGGATGAGTACTTGGTCTCTACCCTCCCATACAGCCCCGTATCATGGAGTCTCTCACACCACCAGGGAGTGCTTTCAGTGAAGACAAACATGCCATCAGGTAAGAAGTGGTTATTTATAGTATCCTCATGTAAATGTAGAAATGAGTCCTCTTATGATGATGAACCTATTGTCGTTTGTTCTAGAGTGAGCCCTCGAGGTAAAACATACTTTTACAGATGGTGCATGGGTGAATCAGAATCCCGACATGTGAGTCTGAATCTAAGCAGACTCGAACTACAGGGGGATAATAGCTTGATATCACAAAGTGTAATTTTCCCCATTTTTCTGGAAAATATACTATCTATCAAATTGACACGTTAGAATATTGTTGGTTTCATCAAAGATATAGGATGATATTATAATATTGTTTAGTATTTGGTGACATGGCCTTTTGACCTTTGAAGTGTTTGTTATCGAATCACCTTCAGCTGCACGGATTATTCTAGGAGGACAGACATACCATCAAGTGAAACATATTTTTTGAACATCCCTATAGTTTCGGGGGAATAATTCTTGTCCGGTGTGATGTTAGAATGTTCATGAGAATGAACGTTTTTGTCATTGTAGGTACTGTCTTGCCTCCGGGAAGACACATTGTGATATACACAGCATTAGACACAAACAACAATACTGCCGTCTGCTCCTTCAGAATCTACATTAATGGTAAGTGGTTTGATGTTCTTCTGTGTTATAGTTTGAGTATTCTTTTTATTGCAATTATTTGTCAGTATATCTGATCCCTGTTTTATTCAGAAAACCAATGTGAGTTCCCTAGTTTAGTTGGAGGTGTGGCTAAGACTTGTCGGACTGGTGGTTTCGGTAATTCTTACACTGGATGTTTTCTGTCTTGCCCTTCCCTCCACCACACACTGAGCCAGACTACGCCCCTCTTATACACATGTGGGCCTCTAGGATGGTGGGATTCAGTGGCAGACCGGACGTGCGATCCTACCTACCCTACATGTGGAAGTAGGTGCCCATTGATTTATTATACATGTATCACTTGCATGATTATGTTAAAGGCTAACATAATCTGAAGAAACATTTCTGTGAACAAAGTTATATGTAATTGTTTAAATTATAATTATTTTGGAAGTAACATGTGAATTCCTCCTGATAACAATCATCACTTGTCACTTGACAGATATCACCTCAACGGCTCTAGTGAATTTGAAAGTGAGACTGGTGTACTCTGCTGCCCTGACCACGTGTCAGCAGGTGAGGAATAGCCTGGAAACTTACCTACGCCAGCACATCACTGCCTTAGACAAGCACTGGGGCAACACGATGTGTACCCAGCTCGGCTGCACGGATGTGGTCCTAACTATTACCTGCAGCTCGCCAGCACCAGTAGTGGACATTGCCATCAGCAATATTGCGTAGGTGCAGTCTGTTGGATACTGTCAATGTCACAACCATTGGGAAGCTGTGATCTATTAGATATTTTCAATATTAACAGCATTGGTTAGATGTTGCTATGATTGACATTTAATGACATATCGTTATGTTTAAATGTATGTTGCAGAATGATTTCGCAATCGAATTTCTTTGTAGATGTATGCGAAAAGCAATATGAAATGTAAGGAATTTCTAGTGACATATTGATTTTATGTACATCTATTTCCATTGACACAGCTATTTGTAAATGTGTGTGCTCGGACATTTTATCTTGTATAACTATGGGCATGCATGTACATGCATAAATAAATATTTCATTTTCGCTGAGCTATGGACATATCTGTAGAATTATATATTTCTATTGCTTGCGTTATGGAAAAAGTTCTTAGCGTTAATAAAGCATAATATAGACGCAATTTAAGCGTCAAAATTGGCACTTTCAATCACTAAAGAATGGAAGTGGCTGAGTATAATTGTACACAACATTTATTAGTAACTATTTTGCAAACTTTCAGCGTCATTTCTAAATAACTGTACCTTTATGTTTAAATTGTGATATCAGATGTTTAGCTTGATATTCATCGTTTTCATATCATAGAATGACTTTGATCACAACTGGAGGAGATTCCAAGAGCCCCAAGGAGATTTTTACTCAAGCACTCCTTGACCTGAACAGATTCCACTTCGAGGTGGGTAGTCAAAGATATACTTCAATTACCGTTGAAGTGAAACTGGTGTAATGCACGAAAACTAGTGTTACTCAGCCTTGTTTTCTGTATGCGATATATTTTATTCATTTTGTTTCTATAAACAGTGTTACCTGTTAACCAATTATGTAACAGAGATATTAAAGCTTAAATTGACTTGGTTTGATCGAGCAGTATATGTTCTGGGTTAAAAGCCCATACACTAACCTCTTTCTGTAGTATCAAGTTTGTTCTGTATGATGTGTTTTAGGAACAGATTCCAAACACTAACCCTCTGATAGGCCTGTCAACGGTTGAATCGACCCTGATCTGCCCCGACGGACACCTGCTTGTGGACACTGACTGTGGTAAATAGCTCATAAAATGAATCATTGATATTCGCTAAGAAGGAAAATTGTAAAATTCAGATAGACAATTAGCGAAGCTTATAAATCAAAGAGTTGTGTATCTCATTATTGAAATACAATCGAAATATTAAACACGACATATAGGACATTAACAGCTATTACTCGCCATGTCATTTTCGTTTGAGCTGTTTGACGGTAATTTAAGTATCGTCATCACTGGTTAACATTTCTGGTTAACCTGACCTGCTAATATTTCTTACTAATTTTCTAAATTGACATTATTAAGGACTTCTGTTTAAACAGTTGTATAGACAATTTTGGATTTTCACCTATTTGGCCCCTAGCATGACCGATTACCAGAGAAGGACATACCAGCTGTATGTCGCAGTGCAATTCATCTTGGCAAACTGTATCTGTTACTTAAAGTTGACATTACCTGTATGTGTCGTTACGTTAGTACCAGTACGAAAGACAGTAATTGCTTGTGAATATGCCGGAATGGATAGTATATTTCGTATTTCCTGGCAAATAAGTCCTTTCCTGTTCGAAGGGTTCAGAAAAAATCTCCACCAGAGATTTATTGATCAATTCCAGTCAAACAAATACGTATTTGATAGTGTCCCGTCTGGACAATTGTATAATGATATAAAGACCACAATCAAACAGGGGACATTATACAACCCAATTTTTTAAGTATTAATTGCAACCACTTAAATGTTGGACTAGTTAGGCTAACAAGCTGTCTATCACTATTTAATGACTTAAATAAGAACATATTACATATAAGGGTCTGATTACATATTCTATCTCGAATGTACGACACGAGACTCGTGTTTTCCCATTTCAGTTATTTGCGGTTTTGGAATGTACCTCAATAGGACAACTCAGTCTTGTTATCACTGTCCTAAAGGATTCTACTATGACACAACCGATGGCAACACTTCCTGTCGGGCATGCCCAAATGGAACCACAACAAAATGTTCTGCAGCGGTGTCTCTGGATCAGTGCCACGGTAGGTGTACTGGGAGCAGTAAAACCTGTCTATAAGAAACACTTCAAGGAATCGCTTAACTGATTGTTTTCTTCATGTGCAACTTATTGTCTTTTGTGCGTAAAGCTGAATGTTTAGTACATTAATTATCGATTGTTTTCTACATATTGTAATTGATGGTTTCCTGCCTGAGTAACTGATATAATATTTTTTCCGTTTCCTACATTTTAAAGCAAAAGGAATGGCGAACAACTAAGATTCCATCTAAATTTATTCTACATTTCATAGAGATTGACTGGATATTTTGGAACATCGCAAATGCTGTAATACAGCTGCCAGTAATCCATACTATTTCAACTCGTCTGAGTAACAAATGAGTTAACTTATGGCAGTTTAAATAGAATTAATAGTGCAAATAATTTTCTTAAGTACGTCCACATTCCAAGCATCCATTTCCTCAGTTTTAATATATTCTATAAATCGGAGTATGCAATGACAAATTAATTTGTGTTTGTTACTCCTACAACTATATGGTCGTCAACTTTATTATCTTCCTATGAAGAAACTAGATTATGTCTGTTTTGCTGTAACAGCTGTATGTGAGAGCGGGTCGTTCTTCAACATGACTGCAGGGATATGTGAGTTGTGTAACCTGGGAACATACCAGAAAGAAAGTGGACAGTTTCAATGCCAACCCTGTCCATTTGGTCAAACAACTATTCAAACCGGCACATCGGACATCAAACTGTGCTTCGGTACGTTCATTTTAAAGATAGAGAAGCATATTCAGGTAATATCAGTGTGAGTTCTTATGAAGACATTTTTCGGAGTCTGGGGTTGAGCAAACTGTCGAACTACAGCGTGATTTCATTTGATTGTAAAAAGCAACATTATTTTCATTTTGACTGTGACAATGTTGTATTTATTGTTTCTTTCCATTTGGTTATTGTCACACCAATGTCATATAAATTGTTCGCTGGATATTGACAAATGAATATGAATCGTAATCTCCCGTTTTCTGTTATCCTCTTTCATGTAAAATGGAGAAAAATATGTAAAAGGTTAGGAGAAACGGTGTAAAGGAAGGAAAATTTGTATAACAGATAGCAGAAAAATCTGTAAAGGGTGGGTGAAAAATCTGTAAAGGGTAGGAGAAAAATCTGTATAGGGTAGGTAAAAGATCTGTAAAGGGTAGGAGAACAATCTGTAAAGGGAAGGTGAAAAATCTGTAAAGGGTAGGTGAAAAATCTGAAAAGGGTAGGAGATAAATATATTGAAGGTAGTAGAAAATATGGAAAACGAATTTCAACAGGAAATAAGATAACGTTTCGATTGTCTTACTTATCTAAATGTCATTAAGATACAAAACAGCTAATATAACAGTGTATAAAATGATGGTTTTTTTCTTCCAGACATGTGTCCCCTTGGGTTTGAAATTACTCATAAGGGTCCGTGTCGTGTGTGTGAGGCGGGGACATATCGTGGGGAGGGGGATGGACCTATGTGTGTTCCCTGTACCTCCGGGATCACCACACCAGGCAACGGCTCACAGACAGTCCTCAATTGTACCATAGGTATGCCTGTGAGATTCGTATCTGGTGGACTAAACTAGCATTATCTTCTCTTTGGGTTTTTTCTTTACAAAGACATACATTCTAAAAATATATAGCAGATTGTCCAATGAATGTACAATCTATTTCACAAATAACAACAGAATACCGATACATTTCACAGTATAGAAGATATGGGTGCCATCAACTTAAAATAATCAAATATCTTACAGACATTTTTAACCACTGTCATGTATTTTATAAAAGCCGTTCACAACTGAGTTCTTTTGAAAAAATAAAAAAAACTGAAAAGAACCTTTATACTTGGAGTGGACAAAATGTACACTATTGATATATTCAAAATACTTATATCACTAATAAAACATGAAATATTCAGAATGTTTTGAAATAACATCAGCGTATCTTTAACATTAAGAACGCAGTCTTGTATTTATAGATCCTCTCTCATTACACTCTGAACGTTCTATCAACATCAACCTATTATAATCTTAATGTCATGTTTTGTCAAGTTTTGTCATGTTTCCAGTGATATGTCCCCCTGGCTATAGAGCAGAACGTAACAGCACAAATTGTAAGCCATGTGAGCTTGGACAATACCAACCTGATTGGAACCAGATAGATTGTCTCCCCTGTCCTGAAAACACGACAACCGAGATGGAGGCAGCTGATAATGTGACAAAATGTGAAGGTATATATAGATATTCCTAAGGGTAATTAGTCATTTTGAAGCATGTGGTTGTAATTAATATTTAAAGAATTGGGTTGTATTATGTCCCCTGTTTGATTGTGGTCCTTATATCATTATACAATTACACAAACAATGTACGTATT